TATACTGTTTTGTATATTTTACGAATTATTATTCGTAAAATATACAAGTAAAATTATTCAAACCTCTAAAAATACACTGTTTTGTATATTCTACGAATATACTGTTTTGTATAATTTACGAATTATTATTCGTAAGTAAAATTACGAAGTAAAATTATTCAAACCTCTAAAAATACACTGTTTTGCGTCCATAAAGTATCTAGAAAAAATTATAAATTGGTCGTTTTGATTACTTTGGTAGTTCTAGTGTTGATATTCGTGGAATTTGACATAGGATGGTATCAGTTTGATAGCAAATTCCTCGTACTATGTGCTTGGCAACAAATTTCAACTATTTTGAAAATGACTGATATTGCAATTTTGGGACAAAAAGTTCTCGACGTGAGAAAATTTTGTCCCAAAATTGCAATATCTCCTCAGTTTTAAGTATATTTGAGTGAAACGAAATAGGCAAAAGAAATAATAAATTTATTACTTCTCAATCATTTCTATCCGGTGATGTCGTAACCGACGAGTTCAGAAAGAACGCGACGATTTATTGTTCGTATACGGTCACTCGTTATGGTCCGCAATCAGTTGCCAGCGGTTGAAAACGATGTTGGTTAATTATGAAAGAAAAACTCGGGGAAAGGAATATTCAACATATCGTGCATTCAACATATTCAACATATCCTTTTTTATAAAAACTCAAACTATCCAGAGTATCTTTCGTGAATGAGATAAAAAAAAAATCGACTACTCGCTGTTTTCACGCTAAAATAAAGAAAGCCCGTTTCATTGAAACAAAAGTATTCCCTTCAAGCACGACAATTATCTTTCGCGTGTCTTCTGTTTTATTTAACGAGAAAATTTCCTTCGCGTTTTAAAGACGTCTTCTCGGAAGAATTACGAAGTGACGGTCAATGTTTATTCAAGGTCCAAGATGGACAGTTATCAAGGCATTCCTCAGATCCCATGGGGCGGCCATTCCCCGATCTCATCCCTGTATCACCAGCAGCAGCAGCAAGGTATCCAGGAGTACAAATCGGAGAGCAATTCCTTGTACGGTAGTCCTTATACGCCTATTATTCACACACCGGACATATCTCCAGTTGCCAGTCCCGAGCCAGATGGTGAGACCTTGTACTCGCATTAATTACCGTACAGACAACCGTGAAACTTGAGAAATTGTGCCTGTATAATTAAATTATTAGCAGATTATTAGCGGATATTTATGCACTCAAAAGGATGCATTTAAACGGCCCAAAAAAAGTAAATGCAATGGAATAAAAATATTCGCAATATTCAAAATAAACTTTTCAACAATGAAAATAAATCTTTACTTTATGTCTGTAACCATGTTCAAATTTTGAATTAGAGCGAGATAAATATATTATTATTGGTAAATCGAGGTTTATTCTTAACATCTTTCTTTTTTTTTTTTTTTTTTTAATCAGTTTTCATTTAAAAATTTGAATACTATTATATATGTACATTAGAGCTTTTACTAAGAAGCTACAGTAAAAATTACAATTTCTTAAAACATTTTATTAACGCTATTCTTCATCTGAGAACAATGGCACTTCAAAATTCTGTTGTTACTCCATTGAAGTTTTTTTGTCAGAAGTTTGTATTAATGAAAGCATATAACACTCGAATTATTGGCAAATTAATTTCCAGGTGACGGAACGCATTTGCCATCCAATCAAAATCCAGATCCTGAACGAGATCTAATGGACGGTTCAACGAAGCAACACGGTGAAATGAGCGAGCAAACGAAACGATATACATTCATGAGTACCGATAATCAACTGCACACGGGTCATGCTGGTGGTACTAGCATATCGTCGTGTCAGAATTCTGGTGCTTACACAGATACTCTGACTTACAAAAAATCAGTGAGTAATGGCGTGCATACAAATGATCTTGTTAGGGACTACGGGGACAAATGTAGACTTATTTAGTTGCGTTGTAATGACAAAAGCAATGCTTGGAAAAAAGAAGTATCGTATGATTTTTGTGGAATTCGAAACACCGTGTACTAAATTTTGAAGTTCAGAAAGATTTGAAATTAAAATTTGAAATTTTCATAAATAATTAATATTAAACTGATTTAATTTCAATATGAATTAAATAAAAAAGTTGTACTAAAATTAAATTATCATACGATGGTGTGTATAGTAACACTGAAATTAATTAATTAATTATTGCTTTGTATTTATTTCAAACATCTGAGCGATAAGAAATAATTATTTTTAGTAGATTACTTTTCATTTTCTGCTTCTTCATATATCTCTTCAAGAAACTTTGTCGTGAACTATCATTTTAATTGATCGGTAAATATTCAAGCAATAAAATCAATCCATCAACAATCCCAATATCTAAAAAAAAAAAAAAAAAAAAAAAAAAAGAAAGAAAGAAAGAAAGAAATTATTGAGCACGTGGCACAATTTATCCATTTATCCCAACGTTTTGGACAAGCTAACGTCTCAATTACAGTGGCACGAAACACGAGTGAAAGTTGCAGCCGTGATTTTTGCTTCTTTCAGGTGAGTTATTTAAATTTCGAGAGACAACCGTCGAGCATAGCCGCGGTGGGTATAGCGAACGGAATGATGGTATCGTGCAATAAATTGCGCTCCGGATTTGAGAATGTTGGCTCTGTGACGGGGACTTTTTATCCGCCGGTCGCATCCCCGCACGATCAATCGTTACAGCACTACACGAGCACCCAATCCTCGAAGACTGCCAACTATTCGATGCAGTCCACCGTCGAGAGCAACTATAATCCAGTTCAGTGTGCCAATCGACAACAGTCCATGGGGATTCGTGGAGCCGCTGAAGGCTGTTCTGGTAATTCTTCATTCATTCTTACGTTATTTCGCGGCTTTACACTTGGATCGTCTCCAGTGGTCGATCATGCACAATCAGAGCACACAGTTACAGTTTCAATACATTTCTATTTCGTAAAATATCATTACGCGATAAAGTTTATTTTTAAGTTACGTACTTACGAGCGACAGTACATGGACAGGTTATATTCATAGTTTTTAATTGTGTCATGGAGGAGTTGTTATATTTAATCAGAATGCGTGATTGTAATTTAGACAGCATTGAAGAAGATACTGCGATCTCGCGAAAATATTCAAACACCCGTGAGACATTTTTTATAAATTATATTATGTAAAATATTTTGAAATGACACATTATAGCCGTACTATAAATAATACACGCAAAGGGTGTAATTTCGTAAGATTTTGCCAACCTCTCGAGTAATAATAGTATTATTATAGTGTCACATTTTTTACGAAGTAGCAATTAAATTGACTGAAATTTTTATAATTTCACTTACTGTACACTGCCTTTCCGAAAATATTTAGACACAAAAGATTACTGTTATTTATTCCTGAAAAAAATGTACTATAAACGTTACTAAATACGTACGTGCAAAGTACTGGAGGAAAGGAATTATGCTTGAACTTTCGTGCAAAATGAAGTAAACAGAATAAAATACCCTTAAGCTAACAGAAACTAAAAGAAATAAAATACCCATCACCCTTGAATCAATCAAAAATCACACTTTTGCCAACACGTTACAGCACTCCCAAATAATAAACAAAATGATCCACGCGATGGTTTTATTAATTGCAACCTCTAACCGAGATGCTTCGCAAGTTTCGCAAATATGAATCACTTGTCCGTGGTAACTCGAGCATCAACCCGAAATCTCTTGGCTTTCTCCTTCGTATAATAGCCCCTTTATTCGCGACGTGGTCACGCGCCGAAGGAGACCGGGGCTATTCTCTTCTCCGATTTATTTTCAGGTGTACCCCACCGGTACCAAATGAGTCATCATCAGGAGTACCAAACGGAGGGAACTAGCGCCGGTCAACAGCATCCGATTCTGGGTCACATGGAGGCAGCGATGGCAACCACCGCCGAGGACGAGCAACAACAGACGTTACAGCTGGAGAAGTACTTCAAATATTCGCACTCGGCCAGCGTGGCGCACACCAGCCTCACCTCGCAGAATCTCCTCGACAGTAACCACAATTACGCCAGCGATCTGCGTTACTACACGCCGCAGCAGACGCAGCTGGACATGTCGAACTCTCAGTGTATCGTCGACGATCAGACGAAGGACGCTCGATGCTCGAACGTGGCCATAGGCCACGCGATGGATCAGTATCACCAGGCTATGGACGTGACCAAGTATCCGGAGCATCAACAGCAGCAACAACAGCAGCAACAACAACAGCAGCAGCAGCAACAACAACAGGCGCAACAGGGCCAACAATCGCAGAGTATCGAGCATGTTTCCAAGGCGGACGACGATTTCAGTGTAATACTTGCCGACGTGCGCAAGACTTGTTACAGTAGCTAGTGTTTCGGCTAGATCAGAGCTGTCTGTAGGGGGATACCGAGGAATTATAACCAGCGCGGACAATGCGGCTTTCGAACCGATTCGATAATCTTGCCGAAGCAAGCATTCATGTTTCTGTATTTTCCTGTATTTCCTTTTTTTTTTTTTTTTGCTTTATGTTAATACCAAAATATAACGAAGAATGTATTTATTTTGTCAGACTGTAAATAGAAGAATGGGCAATATTTTCGATACGGGATCGCGCGAACGTTGCTTTTAATTACCTAATCGATCAAAAGAACCGCATCCTCCGAACTGGCTGTCAGAGAGATCGCTTTAGAATTACGTAACTATGAAACGGTGAGATTGTCAGTGGGATCAACTACTCGTGCGTCACTTTTTAGTGGTTTAGCTTGAAATTCGTATCGATGAGTACCTACACCACGAAACGTTGGTGCCGAAGTGAATTTCGAAGAAGAAACACTATTATTACTTGTATCGTTAGGCAAGCGAGGAAACATTATTCTTGCTTATATTATTAGGCAGGTGATCCACGAGACATGCCGCGTGTACGAAATTTATTTTAGTGCAAAGCTTGTAACATGGTTTCTTGTCATCGATACGGATTTTAACCCTCATTCGTTCCTCGTTTTTCCAATCTTAATTTGTCCCTTGGTGTCGAATTGACGAAATAATTGATAGAAAAGAAAAAGTTTAATGCCTGAATTGAAAAAATAAATAATTAAATTTAGAAATTCTTTTAGTGATGATAAACAGACTAAATTGTATTTAATTACGTGTAAGAGTCGCAAAACTCTTACTCTCGCGTATAAATTAATCTCATATCGTGATTTTATCTTCTGCAGTTTTGTCTAACGTTATAATCATTTATTTTCGACTTGTCACAATTGAATGTATACTTGTAACATAGTATAATTAATTAGAAGACAACGTGTTGTTCACCAACAGCCTAGAAAACGAATATTATTTGCAACTCTGACGGCATACTTTTTTTTTTTATCAAAAATGTCAGTAATATATATTATATGTTATATATTAAAAATATACCTCTACAATATGACATTTTACAAGAGAAGTGTATCAAATTAACATAAGGGATAAATGAGAATTAGGCGACAATTAAAAAGTGGGACAAGAGTAGTTAGTTCCACCGACCATAGTCCAACCATAGTTTTGTGACGTAGTTCTAAAGTAGTCTGTCTGAATTAGAATTAATGTTAATCAATACAAAAAAATCGAATCTTGTGCTTGTTATTATACTGGGCATTGCAAGCATTGAATACTCAAGTCTGATGAAGAATGAAATTCAATATATTGCAGAAGATAGACGGATGTAAGAGGTAGGTGAAAACGTATTAAACACAAATTTTGTGTATATCTGTTATCTTTTTTTAAATATTAATTTATTGATAAAAGTTTGTGTTGCAATGTAGCAAACACGTAAATACATAAATGTACGTACGATCGAAAAGGAGTAGGTAGTGATTGTTTTAGTGAATCCTTTAACCAGGAATGGCGAGTTAATTCGTTGTTAAAAGGTTGGGAAATCTTTAAAGTTTCGTGATAAGTTAACTCATCGTTTCCGATTAATCCTTCAGAAATTATATCTGTGCACTGTACTGACTTTATTAGAATTTATTCCAACAATACTAAATCACTGCCAAAGTTACGAAAATAATTTTTAAACTTGTCTAGTTATTATTAATGTAATTTAAATTTATGAGGAAGTCCAAGTCATCAACATCAGACATCTTTTCTGAAAGATCAAAGGATTAGAAACAAAGGTAAAATCCTTGAGTACTTAATATTTGTAGCGTCTGTTATGGTGAACAATCTTCGACTCTCTGTAGCAAAGATCTCTCCCGTGGACAGCCCTGTCCTAGATAGTCTTTTTTGACATGGGTGATCTATCCCTCACGGCTGTAGAAAAAAAATTAGTCTGCTAGTGTCTACGAAAAATCCGGTGCTTATACACATTTCTGTACACACTTCCGGTGCTAATGTTCTTGATCACCAGGTGTGGTTGGAAGACGATAAAGAATTGACAGTAGCTTCTTACTTCCTGTTTTTCATTCAGTTCTCATTCGTTTAAAATATTTTCAAAATTGATTCTTGAAGATTCTTTTCTTACGAATGAATCTTACGAATCATTAATTTATTTATTCTTTCTTTTATCCTACTGCACTTATCCATTGTATGGATAATAACACATATGCTTTAAAGCAAAAATCCGTTTATCTGAACTCGTTCTCAAACTTGTTCTTCACATCTTTTCATTTTATTTTTATTTCCGTTTTCGAACATTTTACATTTGAATGGATAATAATCTTACAGTGGAACTCCATTTGTTTGAACATACTGGAGAACAAAACTATGTATAATTCGAAATTCACCAATTTTCCTCATCTGTCTATTCCATTCACGTGATGAAAACTCACGTTCAGGCTAGTAGATTCAGTCGATAAAAGTTCAGTTAATCAGACATTGGAATCTCATTTTAATAAATGGACTTCCGATAAACGATATACTGTAGTTTCTTTTTTTATTCGGTCGCGATTCCAAAAATTATTCTGGCTCAATATTCTTGAATACATAAAATCCTGACGCGTAATGGCCATGTACATGTATACATGTATTATATATAGAATGAAAAGTATTTCAGACTAAGATACATGTCGCGCATTATCTTCTTTGGGAAGGGAGTGAAATGAATATAGAGCATGAAGATTTAACCGATCCCCATTAGAAACAATTGTGCACCTCAGTTAAGAGTTATTTATTACAAACAGAGCACCTGTCACTGTGCTTGATTTAAGGTGACGAAAATAATGCGGCGAAGCATTTTAGACCACGACGTATGACAATGGCGAGCTATATAATACAAAACGTGTTGAAATCGTAATTTTGTTTCTTTTACCGATATTACTTTACTCGATCCAACATCGAGCGACAATTTGGATAAATCGAGCATAACTTCGAGATTAACGTGATCAACGTGATCAAGGCGCAAAGAATTTTCGAAGATTAAGAAATTTTGTCTTCATTGAATTTTATTGAAAATAATGTGAAAAAGATAGATAAAATCCAAATTATAGCGCTTTCTGCAATATCCGGTACATGTAACAGTTTTCTACTTATTAATATCCAATTTTTTAACTATACTCACAAAATATGAATCCGCAACCTAACGACAATGAACGTACGTGTAAATGTATTGATAATTACATTCTGGAGTCGTAAAGTTTCAAAAATGCATAAACATTCCCCGTCTGATTGTAATAAATACTCTGCTTTGGATATTTCGTATATTTGGATATTATTCAGTTCTCGTTATTGCGTGAAATTCCTCACAAACGCATGAAAGTCCGCAGCTGTCACGGTTGTAGCAGTTCCACGCGATTTGTATTTAATTTACAGGATCATCGACGATCGAGGCGGCCGATGTTCGGTGACAGAATCGTAGCAATTGAAAGCATTATTGTTGAACTATTTTTATCCACCTATGCACTCATGGTACAGCATGGCACTGTATATTTAGAGAATATCTGCATATTTCACCGTCGAGAATAGATCAAACAATTTTCTCTAGAGGATTAAATGATGTATCGGCTTCTCGGTAGCAATGCTGACCACTTAACGAGAGAGAACGAAATGATAGCTGCATCGTTTCTCACTATCTCATCTCGGCGATGATTTTACAGAAACGACGTCCATTTTTTAGAGTAACAATTTAGTCATCTTATTTATAACGCACACTTCAAAATTGAGATACTTACAATTAATGTAAATGAAACATATATATATAGAGCGAGAGAGAGAGAGAGAGAGATATGTATGTATGTATACATATATATTTTTACGACGATAATTTAGAATATTTTGTGAAAAATGCTTATTTAAAAGAAGAAAAAAAAAAAGACGATGTTAATCGAAGTACCTTGTTTCTAATAAGCGTACGAAGCTTTCTTTCTTTTAATGCCTCCTCCGGCTGGCTATTTTACATGTGTATAAGCACGATCTCCTTACTCCCCTGTCTGTTCTTCAGATGACTGAACGAAATTCTCGCTGTAAATGTAGCACAAAAATAGCAGAACGATCGTTTCTTTTCTTTCCTGTTTTTTTTTTTTGTCTTTTTTTTTTTACTCACGTAAGCTTCTACTTTCATAGTTTTTAATACTCTATGTAGCATACGATGATACGTATATGTAGCGTGGCAATAAACGTGGATATTTTGTCGTTCGAACCTCGATTTTGAATACACTTGCGTTTAGCGATTTGGAATTTAGGTGACGAGAATGTAAAGAACGCTGGAGAGAGTACTAAATTATTATGATTATTGTATCGTACTTAATAGAGACAATTATCAACAACACTCATGGGTTCTCGTGTATCTTTCGACCATTCGTTATCGAATTAATTAATCTCGCTAGTGATTCGCCACAAGAATATTCTGGAAACAGAAATATAAAATTAGACAGGATAATTTTCGCTTTATTTGGAAAAATTACTCGCTTTGTTGAGACACATCTAACTCCTTCAATTCTCAAAATCATCGTTTTTATTTCAAATCTCCTTTATAAATCTTGAAATTCAACAAACTCCATATTTATAATTCAAATGAAAAAATATGTTGTTGAGAGAAGAATATAGACAATTTAAAAATCCTTGTTGTGAAAATTAAGATTTTTAATTATGATATTTATTCTGCTGAAAGTGATAACATTTTCTTTATATTATTAAAAATAATAGGGTCAAATTAATAAAAGAAGATATTTTCTTATAAAAGTAGACATTTGTGACACTCTATCATTTAAAATACTATGATACTATAGTATTTTATTATATAGTACTATATAGTAGTATAACAATACTCATTTAAAGTGCTACATTTTTCTCAAAACTAGAAAAATGAAATAATACAACAAAATATTTGTAATGTGCATATTAAAATATAATTTTCAATTATTTTATCATCTGTGATAAATATGGAACATTAAAGATATTAAAGCATCCTCCTTTGAACCGATGCGTACGTCTTTATCAAGACAGTCAGAATTAAACACAACGATTGCTTACTCGTTCTTTTTATTAAATATATATAAAAAATATGTGTATAAGTTACAATGTTATGTGTAAAGCTGAAATCATACACGGTGAGTAACATCAAGTTCCGATTCGGAGTGTCGATAGAAAAACGTTTAAATGCTATTAGTATATCCCCTTCTTCTATCCGTTTCCTAACTCCTAGCATATTAACCAAAATGAGACTTTAACCGTGTTAACCATAGTAAATCAGTGCCTTTGTTATTTGAGAGGAAGGACGAGAGAGAGAGAGAGAGAAAGATTAACATAGTATAAAATTTTTTCAAACAGGAACAACTGTTTGAAATATTTCCCTTACATTGGACCATATTGTTAATTAAGGTCTATATCCTTATGTTGTTCGTGTAAATTTCTTCCTTCTTTCTTTCCTGGTTTGTTAATCATACACATCAAATGGCATATAACTTATCGGAATACTAACGATTACATCTTGAACATTTTGCGATTTGTCTATACCGTGTTTGGTAACTAAGCGTACAGGATGATTCACAAGAAATCTATTACTTAAATCTACTAATAAATTAAATATTTATATTACAATGAACACAATGTTTCCGTTCATTTTCTTAAAGCTTTCCAATTCTTTTTTTTCTTTCTTTTCAAGAAGAAATTAAATCGTAGAGTTACTTTTAATAAAATATTAAATTCTCATTTTTATTAAATGTTAAAAATTAGTAGCCTTATTAATTAAAAATTCATAAATTAATGTAACTGATTCACTAATATCAGCTATATTAAACAAAAATATATATATTTACAAAAAAAAAGAAAAAAAAACAGTGACTGACAATTAAAAAACAGCATTGAAAATTAAAAAAAAAAAATAATGTATATTTTTAAATCATTTTCTGAAAATCTTTTCGATCGTATTTTGCACTATTCTTCAAGGCGAAGAGAAATAAAATTATTCGTTTGCTCCATTTTCTGTGAGTCATCCTATAGATCATAAATATTTCTATATACACAATGTACAAATTTGTATTGCTGTTTGCAAACTTAACCGATTACACAGTTCGCGTACAAATTACTTAATCGAATTACTCTCTCACCATACATACACACACACGCATACAGTACATTCCCGGTACAGAGTGTGATACTATTTTCTTTCTTTCTTTTTTTTTTTTTTAATTCATTTCTTAATGAAATATGGTATGCAACTGTTAGATAGTACAAACGTGAGCAAATTAATAACGTCGAGTGCCGTTTACCCCTTACAAGTTTCATAGATGTTCGATTATAGGTGTATGTGCAATATGTGTATATATAGGTATATATACTTATTAGTTTGTTCATTCACTTATACTAGCAAGTTCGTTAAATATGATTTTGTGTCAGTGAGGAAGCGCGGAGAATTGCAACGTGTATATATAATATGTTTATTATTAAATTGGACAGATATTGCAGTCTTGTTTATCGTGGTTTACTATGAAACGTATACTTCCATTCTTTTTTTTAGCTCTCTCGTTTAAATACAACCAAGCGCCCACTTTGTACAAATAGTGAATTTTTATTCCGTACAAATCAACAATAATTTTTATTCACTGAATTTTTATATATATACCCTACGGACTGTACACGTTTCGATTGTTAATAAACGATCTTATACATACAGAGACCTAATTTATTTTCACGTGTCTCTCATTATTTACACTTTGCTTCAACGCGTGCATCTCCTACACTATGTACACTTGGAACCTAACTTACACATATAAATGGCAGCTTTACAGGTCATGTATAAAATTCTGTACAGATACCAGTGCAGTTAGTGATCAAGCAAATACGTGTAACTGTTTCTTATTTACAGATGCTCGTTAAAAACATCAAAAATTGATTGATATGTAAATTATTTAATTTAGACGATAGTAGACAACAGCATTGGAAATGATTGTTTGTAAAAAATTTTTAGTCCTCGGGCTAAAAATATAATATACATATATTAAGTATAGATTTAAATTGACAAATTTCATTTGATTTTCTCCACCCTTTTAAATAATAATCAAACAAAAAGAATAGCATTAAGAATTTAAGAATATATTTTTTAATTTATATTGTAAATTAAGCAACATTTTCTTGTTGGTAATAGAATATACGTATGAAAGAATTACACGTATGCGCTCAAACTAGATACACTTTGATGCATTGTGACACTATACGCGGGTAAATTAGACGCGGAAGTCTTCAAGTTATTCTGAATGGATTATTTGCAACCTCCAGGGTACACGAATATTTATTGCCGGCTGTGAATAGTTAATAGAAACAGTTCTGTGCGGATCTCTCGAATTTCTCTATTACAGTAACATACAGTAACATTGTTGATTTGTGACCAAGTACATGTATGTTTAATAATAGATATTTTGTAAGACACGTTGTGCATACAGTGTGAAGCAAGTTAGGAATGATTAATTGGCTTTCGGCAAATGCACGGAAGCGTTAATTTGGAAATGATTATGAATGGTAAGTGCGAACTTAAATAATTCTCACATAACAAGGTATCTAAGTAAGTCTTTTAAAGTTAGTTTCATTTTGTTTCATTTTGTTTGATAGTTCTCCTTTGTCTAATAGTTCTTCTCTTTTTCGTCTCTTTGTCTAATAGTTCTTCTCTTGTTTTTCCTACAAAGTTATTCTAGTAAAGTACAAATATCACTGTTACAAATGCATCCATTCAGTACAGTCTATAAAAGTAAGAATTTATCTAAAACAGTTCGACGCCCTATTACATGTACCGAGAACTTTCTTTCATCCTGTTCTCTTCATTATGGAACCCCCGAATACCGATCATGTATTTTGTAAAAAAAACACTGGTATTTAGAAAGCATGTAATTAATGTCAAGTCGTGAAGATGATATTTTGTGTTTTTGATTCAATTTTAAATCATGTTTTTCATTTGTCTTATTGCTAGTGAGAGGGTTTACAAGTGACATTGTACGGTATTAGAAAGTCGATTAATGAACAGGACAAATCTAAAAATTTTATGAAGATTGAGTCTAAATTATCTTATCCATTCTAGTTTACTTTCTCGAATAGATACTGTGAAAGAGAATATAGGAATTATACATTTAACATATTGACATAAAATTGAAAACGACTGGTTTCAAAGATTGTTTGAAATGAACTTGTTCCAAAATATTATTATAATAGGCAAGTCAATATACCCTGATAAAAGCGAGCATAATTAATAACTGATATGTATACACAAAATGAGATTAGAAATTTGATGAGATCAATGATGACTTGTTAAAGGGACATAAGAGTGTTTACTTCTTTAAACATTTACGATTCTCAATATAAATGCAATCTTAAAAAAGAAATTAAACAATTTGAGATTACATTCTAGGTACATGATTTTTGTTAATGTAGAAATGATAAATTAATATATAAGAGATAATTATACTTCTTGATTATCTGAATAACGTTACCCTCTTTCATAAATTAAAACCTATATATCTACAACGTTCTTATGTGTCATTCATCCCATAAACAATTTTGCTTCATTTTAGAATAGTATGAGAATATAAAACATTTTTTACAAGTTTTAATACCACATTTATATGGAGTGGCTGCTTTTTTGCCATCACCTTTGCCTTTGCAAAATTTTAAACCACACGGATACCAACCAATACATAATTCTAATGAACATGTACAAGGTGCCCACATATTTGATGTATCTGCACATCGTGTTACAAATAATGATCTTGAATCATTTGTACCTTGTTGCGTTAGAGAATTTGTGCTGAAGTTGTACACAGCTGCCATGAGCGATAGTTCAGATGAGCCTAATGAAATAAAGAACAAAAATAATACTTTGAAACTGTATATTGCATTTGGAAAAAGTTCATTTATTAACTTTTATTTATTGATTGCTTACCAGGCCTTTGAATCCATTGCTTTATATCTTCATTTCTGGTATAAGCAGATCCGGCTGCTTCTCCACAAAGAGTAGCAATGTGTTTAGAAATATCTTTGGATTCAGATACATCTAGGAATAAATCCATGGTATAGTTCACATGACCTTTATCTTCTTCTGCAACCCGTACAGTGCCTGGATTTTTTTGCCTTAATTTAGACATTGCGTCAGACGATATAAAATCCACTTTGAAAAAATGATTGACAAAGCATAAAACTTGATATTGATTCTGACCACGTTCTTCTTCACCAAGAACCAAGGCTTTTATTATTTGTACTTCCTAAAGGGACAAATAAAATATTTTATCTCTGTTTGCATAATATATAAGTATAGAATCTCAAAATGATGAATTACATTTTTGAAGTCAATGAGTTGTGTCACTAAAGTACCATCTGAACACTGAAATTCTAAGGTAATAACATCTTCAGTAACATTAGAAGAAATTGTTTCTAATAGGATATCACCACCCTGTGAATTAAAAATACATAAGTGACAAACTATTCTGTTAAACTTCAAACTCTTGGAGGTTATTCGAGATGAATTGTTAATTGTTGAATTATATTGAAGTAATTTTCATTAAACGATACATTTGTAATTATAACTTTGTTGATTTTCTATAATAGTAAATGATAAAACAATGTATACCTGATTTTTAACATTTATGAGCAAATGAGTCGTACAAACACTATATAAATAGTGTAATAAGAAACAGACTGTGAATAATTCGTTGAATTTCTTCATTGTCGCATGTTGTAACTACGTCTTTCACAGTACTAACCACTGTTTGCAATTAATTATGATGAATCGACATTTATTAGAATGATAAATACTTTAAATATATAACCTATTCGTAAGAACCTCCTACTCCATACATTTTGTTGCGGTCAAAGCATCTATTCACAACCATATTAGCATCGAGTATGAACTAGATAGAGGGTATGCAAAAAAGATTATCTGAAATATATTTTATTAGTTGCTTAAACATAATTTATAAAAAGAGTATAATATATCTAACACAAAGATAAGCTAATTTTGATTATTTTAGCAATGTTGCTCAAATAATTAACAACTGAAGAGTTAAATTATCATAGAAAATAGTATTGAAATAAGTGCAGGATGAAAACTGTAATACAGATGAGCTATAGAAATAAACAAAATATCCAATGTATTTTTCCATCTTTGGAAAGACGTTTGAATTTGCACAATTTTCAAGAAAAATTCTTACTTCTAACCTTGCTGCATGATATACTCAAGATTATTAAAGAGACTTCACGCTTTAAAATAAAATCAAGTTAATTGTTCTACAATTTTTTTTCATGATATTATAACAGTTTAAAGCATTGGCAATTTTTTATCTAGTATACGAATATTTTCGTTCTTTTCTAAGAATTTCTCATGAATTTTGTGTATTTGATTTAGCCTAGAATTTTTTATTTTTTATTCCGAGTTAACATTTTGTTCGAAATGCGCGCGTGTTAGGTTTAAAAATAATGACGTATCCTACGATTCTCGAATATATCGATATTTCTCACGGTCGATTTTTAAGCGGGAAAGACACCAGAAGCATGGCGGACTGAAGCATATCATCTCGTCTGTGAAGAGGAAAGTACTATCAAGAAGAATCTCCAGAAAAAAGTATCATTCAGAAATTCTGAGATAAAAATTTAAATCAATAAATGTTAGATTTGTGTTTGTGTTTTGAATTTTTAAGATAAAACGTGCATTTTTGGTTTCAACCATAGGTAAGATTTAAGCAAATAATTGTTACATATAATTTTTAACAATTAATGAAACAATGGCATATAAACATTTAAACAAAATGTATCATGCTAAAAGTTATTTATAATAATTTATAATTTTCAAAATTTAATTTCAATTCTAACCAAATATTGTAACCTTGTAATATGACTGACTTATTATATATAATATGTATAATATATACTTCTATTATAACATTTTATACCATTTTATAACATTTATATTCATTTGTTGATTCTTTAGCTTCATATATTGTGTAATTTTTAACAATTCTAATACTGAATTCAACAATAATCTGTTAAATATGAACGTATTTAATGACTAAAATAATAATTCTACTGCGTAATATAATAAAATTTCTCGTGTTTCAGGTTTAAGTATTGACAATTTTTCATCAAGTGTGTGAATATTATCGTCCTTTTTAAAGAATTTGTCATGAATTTTGTGTATGTGATTTAGACTAATGTTTTTGACTTTTTATTTCAAGTTATCATTTCGTGCGAAACGTTAACGATTGCAGCGCCAGCGGTGAAAGAAGCAATACACTTCCTACAATTCTCGAATATATCGATATTTCTCACGATCGATTTTTAAGCGGGAACATGGCGGAAGGAAGCACATTTTGTCTGTGAAGAGGAAAGCATTATTTAGAAAAATCAACCAGAAAGAAGTATCAACCAGTTCTCAGGTAAAAATTTACATCAATAGTTGTTAGATTTGTGTTTGTTTTGAATTTTTTACATAAAACGTGCATTTTTACCTTCGACTCAAGGTAAGATTTAATCAAATAATTATTACATATAATTTCCAACAATTAAAGAAATAATGGCATATAAACATTTACAACATATAGCTCATAAATAAAACATACTGTGCTAAAAGTAATTTATAATTTTATGTCAAAATATAATTTCAATTCTAACCAATAAAAATATTATAATCTCGTAATTGACTAATTCATTATTATATACATGTATACACATATTTTATTATATGCTTTTACACATACACTTCTATTATAACATTTTTTACTTGTTTGTTGATTCTCTAACATTATATTGCATAATTTTAACAATTCTAATACTAAATTCAATAATTTATTAAGAATGTATATTTTTAATAGATAAAATAATAATTTTACTGCGTAATGTAACAGAAGTTTCCATTTCTCAAGCGAAACAAGGCGTAGAAGGCCTTTAAGCTCGAAATCAAAGGTCCAAAACATAAACACAGCGCTTACGTGTATGTGTAATACTCTGTTGTACCTGTTTATTCGCGTGACTCCCTACCACTTTTGACTTTACGTGTCGAGACAAGTCGAGACAAGTTATTCAGCTACCGAATTTCGAGGCAATAACATGTATTACATCAGCTTAGATTAGTAACTTATTCTAACCTATCGATAGTGTCTCTTCGGTGGCGTCGCTTCTTCGACTATCTTACTAGCATTTATACCTCGTTAATAGTATTATTTAATTAATATGCGGGTATTTAACGATTAATTGAGCATTACAGTAATGAAATCGTATAATGTTTTGAAACTTTTCGTGCCAATTTTTCTTCAATTGTCGATTTTACTCATACAGTTACCGGCAGATCATCTTTTACACTTTCCTAATAAAATTTGAAAGTGATTATCGTTTCATTTTTATATATTTATCTTCCTTTAACACATTTGTTCTGACTTTTGATTTCTCTTTGTACAGATTAATTGTTCTTTGATTGCAAAGGCAGCATAGAGTACATGGATTCCACGATTACGTACGGACAATCTGATGAACTTCAATCACGGGAACTTTGTAAAATTTTATTCATTTTGTCTTTCGTTTACAATATCCAATACTGAGAAATACTTTATGATTTACATCTAATGTCTTTAATACATATTCAAGTTTCTATATAATTCATTTTCTAGAAAAATAGCAGTATTTTCTAAATGAACGTAACCTTCAACCCATCCTCCCCTTACCCCTCAATTAATTAGCTTCGTTTTCAGAAAATTTTTGTGACTGCGCGCAATGCAGTCGATAGAGTCAGTGTTTGTTGCGTAGTATATTAATATTTTTCTGAGCGAAATGGCTCGTATTAAATTAAATTATTTCATTTAAATTATATTTCGCGAAGTTAGAGTCAGTGAGTCCGCCGATTATTACTTAAACGCGCGCGTTGATAGTCTTTTATTTTTCTTTTTTTGTATTTTTTCTTGTTCAGTGTTCATTTTCGGTATTGGAGTCAGTGCTCAAGAGGATAAAGCCTCTCCAGGAAATCAAGATCGTAAGTAGTTTTATATATTATATCTCAATTTATTCAATTTTTCAAATTTAACAATAAAGTATAATGTTTGATGTTTGTTACAGACGCTTCATAGCATCAGTTTCTTTGCATTTTGGGGGGAAAATCCAATGGTAGCTCTAGAGCTAAGAATGTAAGAATTTCATTCATTATCTCCAACTTAAGATTTTGCTTTGTTTTTAAATATAAATTCTAATGTTTAATGTTTTGTTGCAGATTTTCTACTGTTTCCACTTCCCCTAATCTTCTAAGAATCTTATGGTGCTTCAAAAGCTAAACATGTAAGTATTTTAGCATGTTGTATTTAAATTCTATAGTTCTTTATAGTTCTTTTCCTATTGAACTCGAATGTAAAATTATAATTATGAAATAAAAATACTTAATAAATATACTTACTCAAATTATTAGTCCTAATTTTTATCATTATTAAAATTTAAATTTTCACGAATAACACTGTGTCTTTAGAAAGAAATTGTTTTATGTTTCTTAAGAAATTTTTCTACGGCGTTCACTTCCACCATGGGATTCTCTATGCTATCTACTTGATGGGGATCTTCACGATAACTTTCTCTGTTCCAGTGCAGCATCGATGATAACATTCTTCACATCTGTCGCGTGAGTCGCATGCATTTATGTTCCTCCGGTCACTCAATCATGTCGTAGGACGAAAGGTCCAAATCGGCACGGGTGACTGGTTGTATACGTAGAATTTTTGACGAGCATAGTGACCGCGGGTATTTTTTATACCCGTGAACAATTTTTTCATGTTTTTTATGTATTAGATCAGGATAGGGCTTCTTGCACATCGCGATTTTAACAATTAGAATATATACAGTTATAACAATCACTGGTGAAATCAAAGTGTATTCAATATAAATGTTTGCAAAGACAAAATATGTATATGAATATCCATGTGAATAGATAAATTATAAAT